TCCCTCCCCTTCCAGGGCACCTTCCATGTCCATCTAGTAATCTCCTATTTATTATAAATATTTAAAGAATGATATGTCTTAAAATTTGTAAAAATGAATAGATCATACAATGTTAGTAAATTAATCAACCGATAAGTTTTACTTAGAAAAATCTCTTAAAATTTTCTATAGTAATTTGAGAATTTTTAAAAAAGAAAAAAGTGGTTTTTTTGGAAACTTTTTATTCTCCATTATTACTAACTTTTTTTTTTTTTCTTTTTTTAATTTAAAACTATTACTTCTTTGAAATCTTGTAGTGTATACATGCACATTTTAAAAATTTTATATATATATATATATTTTAATAATATCAAAAATTTAGAATAAGCTTCAATGTAAAAATATATATATTTTTGATCTATTTTAGACTATTTTTTAGCTATATTGTCTCAAAGAACAAAATAGTTGCAAATTCTATATGAAAAAATAAGTCTAAATTGATGTGAAATCTTTAAAAAATGTGAAAGATAACCAAGTCTTTAATAGTATCAATTAATTCAAGCAAGCCTATATTTAAAGATATATTAGAATCATAGCATCTATTACTTATCTTATCTAAAAAAGAATATTTTTTTTTAATGCATAAAAAACCTTCAAAAAAATCTCAACACTAGCAAATAGCAATATACAAATAATATGATCATTATCTTTGTTCATTAGGACCTCAAGTTCTATATCCATATAGATACATCAATCATCATCTTTGATGTTATCTTTATCCAAAGTCCTATCAACAATCACAATCAATTAAATGATCAAACTTCTTTCTTTCTTTTTATCATTGGTGGAAAAATATTATGCAATCAATATAAAAAAAGTCCAATCTATAGTTTAAGAAATCTATAAATTCTAACATTTTTTACTTAAAAATTACTTTATCTTTTATGTTATTTATATAACATAAATATATATTTGATTAAAAAATCTTAAGTATTTATGAAACTTACACATTGACTTTTTTTCTTTCTAAAGTTTGATTTTAGAATCATTTACAAACTTGAAAAAAATCACAATATTGCTAATAATTTATCTTATATATGTTCTAAGCATCCATATCCTTCTATTTAGATAATAATTTATTTGATATAATTTTTTTTTCTTTAAAATTATACTAGATACATCTCATTTTAAAATACCTCCATATAAGAATATTTCTACGTAATATGCAATACTAGAAATAAGAACACATTGTACATTGTACAATTTGTTTCTTAATCAAAATAGTTTCTTTTACTATTAGGAGAAAGGTCAATTTTTTTTTTTTTTTAAATTTTTTACTTGAAATGATGCATCACATTTTGTATATTCTATATAGACTTTACAGGTAATAATTTCTTTTAAAAAAATTGTTTCATAAGATTCTTAACATTAGATTTTAATGCCTAATAATATATGCTAATACTTACATACATTTCATGTCTTATAATAATTGCAAATAATTAAGAAACTTCAACAAAGTTATTTATATCAAAATTTTGATTTTTTTATTAAATATTTTTTAAATTAAAGATTATATTTTATTTAATTATTAACAAATATGGCTTGAAAAAGTTATAAATATCACTTGGTTGCAACAAACTATGCAATTAAGTGGATAAAGCCTAAAGTCCTTTGAAATAACATAGTCCGAGAAATGCTCAATTTTTAATAAAATCCATCTTTATTTAATAAGGTTGCCACTTATATATTATCAATAACTAACACACATATGTAAACTATAATAGAACATTATTTTTTTTTGCTATAAAACTTTGATTTTGTATTATCTAAAATATAAAAATCAAGCCAAATTTATAAATAAAATTTTTATTGCTTCTCTTTAAAAGATGATAATCTAAAAGTCTATTACATAAGTTCAATATTTTTTTTAAGGCCCTCTTTACATATAAAAACGTCTTTTAAGATTTTGACATGATATATTCTATTTAAACTTATACACAAATTTATTTTATTAATTCTTACTAAATAAGTACTCTCCATTACAAAATCAACAATGCCATGCATAAATATCTTCTACTACATCCTTGCAACCAAAGTTAACAACTTAGTGCTTTTAGATACAAAATAATTTTGCATCTAATAATGTTTAAATATCCAATAATGTAATTGTGTTACTTAGATGTCTTTGTCCAATTGAGCCTAATACTATGTGATAAGTAACTAACTATAATAGTTTTAATAGGTGCAAATTTTTATTCTAGCAAGTTCTAATCCAAATGCAATTGTTTATTTTGAATTCAATTTATACTATCTAATAATGCCATCTTATTAGTAGATATCAAATATTTCAATTCAAATACCACCACTATCAATATTAATAAATTCAAACCATATTAGTTTTTATATAAATTCCTAATAATACCAAAATCTAACAATGTTGCCACAACTTGCAAGCTTCTTGCTGTACTGTACTGTATTACTTCTTCTTTTCTGTACTACCTGGGTTGTGCACTAAATGAACAAGTATCTTTATTGAAATTTTTCCTTTCATCATGTGAGATTTTGTTATCTCAAAACAAGTTTGTATCTTGTATTTTCTTTAGCACACTTGGAATGAAGTGATCTAGTGCCATTGCTTTTTGTAAGTCAATCATGGTTGAGGTCCCTCATTGAGCTTCACTCTAAGTTTTTTAAGTGTCTGGATTCATACAAAGTGGTTTTATGATCTTCTTAATTCTTGTTAATGGTCACCTCCAAGATGCAGCAAAGTCGTATAGATCGTCAGACCGAAAAGGACACATCTTCATGTGATAAATTCAGTTCAGTGAAATCGTTTAAAGAAAGCATCCCTTCCTTTACACGTTCCTGGTGAGTGAGAAGCATTGGTTGGTTCAGTTATCACTTTTGCATAGTTCTTCACAAAAGTACTGTTCAATATTGATATTCTTTTGAGAATGTTGCCTCTCTTGTCGAAAAGTTGAAAATAAAAGTCAGAGTTAACTACAAGAATGAGGACCATAATGCCGCCAGGTTTGAAGATCTTATCCAAAGATTTTTCTCCTAAGGTTTCAGCCAATGCGAACTTTTTTTTTAGTCCAACTCCTTTACCTGCCTGGGTAATTTATGTTCTAAAGTTATTGCTTGTAAAAGATCTCTGAAGAATTCTCACACGAAAGAACCCGACACACCCTCTCCAACTCATCTTCAAATTCATGAAACTAAGCACCACAAAAAGCTCACTGCCTTCTGTTCTATAAAGCAAATCTATCTCTTCTCAGCAGCATGAGTGCTACCTCACCTTTTGGGACTTTGCAAACTCCATGAAGCTGTCTGATTAATGACTTTGATGAAGGGGAGCATGCAACCACGGTTGAATTTCACCCACTTTAAGAAAAAATTTCAGTAAAGAGAGGCGTTTATTTAGTGCGGGGACCAGACAGTGCGGAAAAGTGCCGCTCCAAGCCCCAATTCAAATTGAACAAAACTGGAATTAGATAGGTTATCACTCCAAAGGACATTTTTGCAAAATGCAGGGATAGATTTGCTATTATTGAGGGGTATTCTTGATATTTTGGAAAATTTCAAGGGCATGTGTGATATTTTTCTTATAAATAAATTGTGATTTCTTCAGTAGATTCATAAATTAAAGTTTTAGATAATTAAAAAAAAATTGATTATATGATACTCTCATATAGTTGGTCTTTATATTATTTAATATAACTCCAAGATATGAATATGAATATTTAACATATTTTTTCAGAAATATATATATATATATATATATATAATGACATATTTTGTATCATATATTATATTTTTTATAAATAAAACTGTTGACTACAAAAAAATCATATTTTTAGTAAGTAAATAAAAAAATAATAAAATAAAATTGTATGAAATGGAGATTTACATTGAATTAATTTTTTTTGTAATATAATTTTTTTTTTTGTATTTACTTCTGAATTGCTTGACACAATAATATTTTGTCTTGTAGTAAATGAAAAAAATTGAATTGAATGTAAATAAATTTTAATGCTTTTGAGCAATAAACAACATCATTTTATAATAGTGACTTATTTTTATTTTTTTAAAATCTATTGTAGCTGTTATTTATATAAATGTGAAAAATGTTAAACTGATTTTGCTTAAGTTATGTATATAAAAATTAAACTTAAAATCTCTAAAACTTTAATTAACTAATTTTTTGATGAAATATTAATATTGACACATAAAATTGATTGCTACTGCTGTTTATGTAGATGATACCTATTTATACTAAAAATTTTGAATTATTGGTGTCCAAAAATAAAGTAGTTCCAATTTATACAAAATAAAAATAAATAAATAAATAAACCAATTTTCGTGATTTGGAGGGTAGATTTCATTCTTTATTCGATTTGGATGTGTGAGAAATCAAATCAAATTTATAGTTTTTCAGTATTTCAACTTCTACGACACAGGTATGTTTACATCAGATTCAGTGATTATAGCACTTAAGATCGGCAGAAATATGAGCAAAGTCAAAAATGAGTTAGGTTTTCAACAACGGACGCTAAATTGTTACAAGCTACAACTGGTGTACGATCTGCGTTGTTAATTTACGAGCTAACGCATCATTTCCTGTCACCAAAACATGAATAACAGGCCTTAAATAATTTACAACGAATATCACAGTTTTGAGTAAACAATAAGAGCCAGCGAGTACTATGTTCTTGCAATACATTGCACTGGGATAGTGTTTCATATCATGAGGCAAGGATCTTCACCTAGAGTAGGGATTATCTACTGATACTTACTTTGAGACTGCATCGCTGTTATTTTCGACGTAACAACTGCATGACACATACCAAAATATTTACCTGAAAGGTTGCCACAATTGTACGTAGAAAACATGCCTTTCGGAACCACATAGCTAGCTCTAAGTAAAGATATCCTTGAATACGCAAAAATCCTGAGATCCATCAAAGCAGGATGTCCCGGTAATTGAGATGTAGAAAGGCACAGCTCGATAAGAGGCAACATTCTGAATTCGTCACCCACATTCACTTGGAATGATACTGGAATAAAATCCCCACATATTCCGAACAGGTGCACAGCTCACGAGTGCAGCGACTACACTTGTAAAGTTCATTTTATCGTCACAGAAAATAGTCAGCAGACGAGATAGTCACAATGGAAAACAGGAACGGTGTTACTGTGTAAAAGCATCACGGGGATTGATGTCTAAATAGGACAATCAAACCACTCCACTGTTTAACACTAGTTCGCTGAAGATTAAATGGACTAAGATAAACTCCAACAATAAACAATACAAGAGAATGCTTCAAAACTGGTGCTTTACTTTCCAGAATGTACCACTCCTGAAAGGAAGTGCGAGCAAGATTAGGCGCATGTAACATGACTTGATGTTCCCTCAGTAAACTGGAGTCTTCTCGACGTCCTCCACCACGCTAATCTTGTGAGGCTTAGCAAGGAAGTCGGTAAATTCCTGGAACGGCGACTTAGAGAACCGAGTTTCTCTCCAGAGATCAGGGGTCAAGAATCCATAGGTCTTCAGGAGGCACTCAAAAGTAGCCTGAAAATCAACATTTACAACCACAGGTAGCTTGTATCAAAACACAATTATCGCTAGATTCAATGCTTTGATAATCTACATTTCAGAGTACTTCGGCAATCCGAAGAAGTTAGGATGTAACAGTATCTTCAACAAATGGTCACAAATTTGGACCACCTCAATGTCTTGCCACAAACTTCTCAGCATTAGATAATAGATTGGATTGATGGCAGAAATTGTGATTATGATTGAGTTAAGTGAAGCCACTTAATGGATCAACCATGTTCGAACACAATACTAGCAACCCTAATCGGAGAAAAAACAAAAAAAAAAAAAAAACAAATCAAAACAACACAAAACAAAAAAGCAATGAAATTCACAGGGTTCTATAGCATCGTGTAACGAGAAACCCATTCTCACCTTGACGAAGTTTCCAAGGGTTTTAGTCGACCCGCGCGAGGATGTGAACACGTCTTCAGTACCGGCGAATTGCAAGACCTTTTTGGGCACACGAGCAGCCACAATACCAGAACCTCTGGGGGCAGGGACCAGCCTCACGGTGACGGAACCACACTTTCCAGTGACCTTGCAGGACACGGTGTGGGACCCGTGTTAGACCATGCATAGGCTTTTTGCGTTGTGAGTTGCAGTCGAGAGGAACGTTGGCGCGCCGCTGGATCGAGCTTACTAGTCTTTTTGGATATTTGGAGATCCCAGGGTGTTAATGTGAACCGAACCTTTCTCTTGGATGTTGCAGAACTTCCCTCTCCTCCTTCTCGTGCTCTTCATTGGAACTGGGGCTTTTCCAAACTGTGTGACGTAGCCTAGCCCTGCAACCTGCAGTTTCCATGCGCTCCGTACTGTGGAACAGAAGCAGTCATCGTCTCAGAACGCAAGGTTTAGTAAACGTTATCATGTCAAAGGCATAACCTAGAACACAGCCGACATTTTAACGCATCTGTTCTATGAGTGAACTCATCGTGAAACAGGTCCAGGAAAACCACTGAGACCTTCGTGAGGGTCGAGTGTCATCGAACCCAACGACCCTGTTGAGCTTATTAAAATGTGTATTGGGGATGGGAAGAAAAACTGTTGAGAATCATGTGATATGAGAGCTGATGAAGCGCGTCATGGATGCTGACGTGGGTTGCTCACACACCGGGAGTAAAGTTGGTCTCCAAGAGCAAACAGAACAAATTTCTTTTGGGGGACAAGAGCAGACCTCTGCAAAATGGCGTGCCGGCTGAATGTTGGAATTTAGTGAGCTCTTAGCAAATGATGTTGATGCCTTGCTCAGTATCGTCCATGACAGAATTAAAAGATTTTCGGATTGTAGCGACTCCTTAACTCGCATGTACTATTAGATTTTCTTTATCTAGTCCTAATCCAACGTGCACACTAGCTGAACGGAATCCTCTTCCTCGGGCTCCTGCTGGAGAGAATTGTAAATCAACAAGAAGAATGCGCATGATTCTATCCCGCAATAGTGGTCTAAACAATTGAAGCTAAATGTTGCAACATAACTATTGCATCGTAAGTCTGACCACGGTGGAAATCTGACCAGGAGACTGATATCCGACCACAGATGTAGATTGATTTCTAGAATTTATTTGCACCCCAAGTCTTTTTCTAACATCCAATTTCGCATTGCATATCGACTCGGTTTTCAACCCTTGCGTTCAAAACCAGACTTAAAGCACACACACTATTCAATGCACCGGGTATATCCCGGCTGTGTCGAAAAAAGAAAAAAAGAAACAAAGAAACAAACGAGACTCAAAGTGTTGAAAACTCCTCCGAAAGAATGAGAATTCCTGCAGAGACTCAAAAGGAGCCATGGTGACCAATCGTAGAATAGTAATCTCACAAGTCCACCAGGCCGAACAATGCCGAGGATCATCAGGATCTGTCGGGTGTTTCAAAAGCTACATCGGAGGCTTGTCTAGTTTAATCCGACACCACCCGTTCAGTTTCATGAGCTAAAAATTCATGTGGATCACTCTGCGTGTGTTATTGGCCTAATCTCCATCAGAATTCGACTAAGAAAAGAGATAATATGCGTACCTTATTGCTGCTTCCTGAGCTTTCTCGTGTTTAGAGTGGCAAAATTTGGCAAAAACATAATTCTTAGGATGCGCACTACTGGCACATCTGTCGTGTGAAGGGTACAAAGATTTTAGAATTATGATATTTGGATCAAATTTATAAAAATAGTCCATAACGTAAGTAGGAAGATGTGTTCTCCATGGCATTGCCCATCAGTCAATCCACATTCATGATCGGAGGCATGGTCCATGATGGACACAATACTTTCGATCAGCTACCGTCAATAAAATCCCTGCAAGATCGTGGAATAGATAAGTAATGACTCGATCAATTCAGTCCAGAATCATTCTCACCCCCCTATCGAAATGAAGATCGTCAACAATGTAGCAGCGGCAATATTGTCTGCAAGCGTTTCAGTTACAACTGATACACTCAATCCTTATTGACCTCGAATGTAAGACGAATGGAAGAACATCCAAAAGTCTTTAATTCCATGTGAAGTAAAAAAGCGCGATATTGTGGCTGGGTCGGTGCACTTCTTGGAGAATAACGGCAAGTTGTATCCACGAATCAGGGCATGAACCAACATGCAGTTGGCGACGCAGCCAACACATTCATGACTCCAAAGCCTTAACGCTTGCACAGCGAAGCGGAAACTATCACAACCAGGGGATGGCAAGTATTCAAGACCCTCATTTACAGCTCACAAAAAGGTATATGAACTTGTGAATAAGAAATCATCCGTCGATCCGAAGCAAAGCACGAGGAGAGTTTTGGGCTTTGGCCGAAACTGGCAATTCCCCATCTGGAACCCTTGCCGAAAATGGCTGTTCACCGTCTGGAAATAACTCGGTTCCGCTGTGAGCTCATCCAGCCATTGCACGCCATCAGGAAAAAAGTGTGACCACAGAACCCAACGGGATCTTCGATTCTGCACTCAATGCGGAACAGTAGGAGCCGATCGCGCAACAACAGCGGGTGTTGATTCCAGTTCTGTTTCTAAAAACTGGTAAGGAATCTGCACATGCAAAATGAACACAGCCTTGACTGCTGTTCCGCCGCAAGTAATTTTCCGTGAAGTTGGTGAAGATGATATCTCGACAGCTACACAATGTGTCTGGATGCTTCTGGTGCTTTGATGTGCGGCTCGTGAAGTTGCTTCGTTGAGTTCCCTTGAGGGCAGTTCCTTTATCCCCCCCCCCTTTTTTTTTTTCTTTTTTCTTTTTTCTTTCTTTGACACAAAGACGGAGTATACCCGATGCATTGACAGAGTGGTTCCTTGAGAGAATTTATTTTATAAACATTTCTAGAAGTAGATGGTTATCTCCAATTTATTTATTTTCATCTTTAATTTTTGGGTTTTATTTATGAACACTGTTATGGCGACGTGATGTTTATGGGAATATGAATACATAAATTCCGGTTTACGTAAATGTAACAGTCGATGTGTAAAGCTTATCTGTACTATTAAATGTTGTACTCGATTATTGTTCATGTTTAGCCTACACATTACATTCATAAACATTGAGATGTGTGCGTGTGTGTATATTTTTATTTAAACATATGAGATCTCTCTATATATGTAATTATGCACAGGGAGTGAATAGTATTCAGCTTTTTGCTTATTTTTATTTTTAGATACAACAACTAAGCAATACGCTGGCATCCAGTTTTATGATTTTATGTTATGTAACTGTGTGTATAATTCTCAGTAGACACATTATACAAATAGAAAATATTTGTAAAACATTTACACCTTACTCATATTGCAATATTCCAATATTTATTTATAGCCAAAATTAAAAACAGATGCAAAAGGCGGCAGCATCGAAGTTCAGGATGACAGCAGTGCTACATTTAGGTTCAAACAGAATTAAACATATATCCAGATATGCGACATGCACACACACAACTTACTCAACATAATGATCTGAAAAGTGATTTTTGTTACTAATTTAGTGTAACGACACTCCCACCCAGATTCCCAGTATCAATTACAGCCCAAGTGTTAAGCTAATCCAGATTTTTGCCGCATATTAAAGCTTGAGAAGTTTGATGCCATTTGGTAGAATAGCACATTCAACGATGCACTTAACCCTACAACACAATACAAACCACGCCAAGTGTAAAGAAGCAATGCACCATTTCCCACCGTTGCTACTTCGTCCGCACCATCGTAAGTTGTCAACACTTGAAGCTCTCACAGGGAAAATAGAAAATTTCTGGAGGTGTCGATACGATAGGGAAGCCTCTTTCCCAGTGGGCCTCTTCTGCGTCGCATTACCCCGGGTCCTAAGATTGGAAAAGAATAATAATTGATAGCCAAGTACATTAGATGAATTTTCTATTAATTTCTATTAATTTTCTATTAAATTGATTTTTCTCAAAAATTTGTATGCTTATTATCAACTAGTAAAGTATAAATTATTATCAACTATTCAAAATCATAAAAAAAATAGAAATTTTTAAATTTTCAAAATTTTCAAATTTTTATAAAAATATTTTCTAAATTATCTAAATCACAGATGAATAGATATAGAAAATGTGATAAGATTTTTTAGGATATTCAAAATTTCTAAGAAAATATTTTTGAATACCTTATGAATTTTATTTATTTATTTTCTTTTTTAAAGTTGTAAATCCAATTTCAAAGTAAGATCAAATCTTTCTACATCCAAATATCTATGATATTTGTAGTTTGATTTTTATATTATACAAAAATATAAGAGAAGAAAAAAAAAATATATATATATATATATATATATATATGTCAAGGATAAGAACTCGATGAAAAAGTAATTCAGACAACTGAGCCTTCACTCAAAGAAAGGTAACAAAATATAAATAAACAAGTATGTATATTGAAAGAGAAATTGGAATGGCTATTGCCAAAGACTAAAAAACATGAAGACTCTTGAAACTACACTCGAAACAAAAAAAGAGTTGACAAGAGTGAAGAGAGCTTCACTCTTGCCTCTATATATACTATCTAATTAAGAGCTATGTGGCGATGCTCTATAGGACCTTCAATATGTGTTGACTTTGTAAGACACATGACTTAGCTTGTAACGCAAGTTTTTAACCTAAAAGTCAACAAAAGATACCTATAAAGTCAAAGCAGTATCTAAGGTCAACAAAAGTTACCTATGAAGTCAAAGTAGCATCTAACAGTCAATAAAAGGCATTTTTGAAGTCAAAGCAGCATCTAACAATCAACAAAAGACATCTATGAAGTCAAAGCAGTGTCTATGAAGCTTCTAAAAAGCTTCTCTAGAAGATATTATCAAATTTTATCTACTTCTATTTACTTTTATCTAATCATATAAATAAATATTAGATTAAATATTTATGTCCGTGACATTACCCTCTCTTCTAGGGACGAGTTTGACGAGGAATGGTCATCATATTTCATGGATCTTCATCTTGGTTTTGATGGATATCGTCGATGAAAAGCCTCCACCTTCTTTACTGCATTTGTAAGATTCTTTGCTGGCTTCCATGTGCGTTCACTAATATTGTATCCACATCAATGAATAAGATATTTTAATTTATTTCAATGCTGTCTTGAATCTAAGACTTCTTTGACCTCAAATTCTTCATTATTGTCTACTTCTATAGGAGGCTGTGGCATTTGTCTTCTTTCTTGTATATCCATTGTCTTATATGGTTCAAGAAGAGACATGTGGAATATAGGATGGACCTTCATTGACTCCGGTAGGTATAATCAATATGCAACTAGATTGATTTGTTCAGAAATAGGAAAAGGTTCAAGCCTACAATAGTCCAACTTATCACAAGGACGAGTAGTCTTGATATTGCGACGGAGTACCCATACCTTATCACCCATATTAAATTGTGGTTGTTCCTTCCTATATACATCCACATTTATCTTTTGTCATTCTTGAGCTTCTTTTAATTGTACCTTCATTGTTGCATGTAACTTTGACAACCAATTTGCCATATCTTCTACTATATGATTATCAACTTTTGAAAAATCAAATGCATCAAGTTATAGATGATAACCATAATTAGCAAAAAAAGATGTTTATTACATAGAAAAATGTACCATATTATTATAAGCAAACTCTACCAATGGCAGAAGAGTTGTCCAATCATCTTGTTGATAGTTGATGGTACATCTTAAATATTGCTTTAAGACTTGATTTATGCGCTCTCTCTGTTCGTCAGCTTGAAGATAAAAAGCTGAAGATAGTTTTATATCCACTTTTAAAATCTTAAAAATGGCTCTCCAAAATCTTGACACAAACTGAGTTCTTCTATTTGATATAATATCCTTTAATAATCCATGATAGCGATAGATATTGCCAATAAAAAACTTAGCTGTTTCTTCACCCGTGATAGATTTTGTACATGGCACCAAATGTGCCATCTTGGTGAGGCAATCTACTATCACAAATATAGAGTCATAAAAACCTGAGCTTGGAAGATTTGTGATGAAATCCATAGAAACAGAAGACCATGGTTGATCGAGAATGGATATGGCTGAAGAAGTCCAAAAGGTCGATGACAAAGAGTTTTTTAACTTGAGCAAACATCACATGATTGTACAAAATCTTTGATTGCTTTCTACATTTGAGGCCACCAAAAATCCCTAGATATCAGCTCCAAAGTCTTATTGTATCCAAAATATTTTGCTGCTAGAAAGTCGTGACGAGCTTGAAGAACACGTAAATGTGCTTCACCTTCTAGAACATATAGGCATCCTTCAAAATAGAGTAGGTTATTCTTGAACTCAAATTTAGAGGGATCATGAGATTTAGAAGAATTATCTTAATATCATGATCAAGAGGGTCTGAAGACATACTTAACTAGACTTGCTTGAGAAAAGTTAAATCAACAATCAATATTGATTTTATTGCTGAAAGATTAAATTGCTCCGGCTCCAAGAGAACCATTCTTTGTTATTCAAAAGCTACATCTTCTTCTTTTGGTACAAGATAAGAACGTCTAGATAAGGCATCAGACAAACCTTGTTGTTTTCTTAGCCGATAAGTGATGATGAACTCGAATCTTGATAAAGACATGCTCCAACGAGCTTGACGATAATTTAATATGCATGCTGACATGAAATACTTGAAATTCTTGTGATCCATATACACGGTGATTGGACTAAAAAAGCCTTCTAGATAATGATGCCATTCTTGAAAAGAATCCACAATTACAAGTTCTTTGTCGTGGATCTCATAATTGATTTTTGCTGTTGAAAATTTTGTTGAATGAAAGGCTATTAGATGAAATTTATCATTTGTTTCTATTTGTGACAAAACTGCATCAAGAGCAAAGTTTAATGCATCTATTTCCATAAACAATGCTTTAGAAAAATTAACAGAATACAAGATTGGTGCAGAAACAAACGATGTCTTCAAAGATTCAAAAAAAACTTCTGCTTCTTGATTCTATTGGAGTTTGTCTTTACAAGTCAAACATGTAAGTGGAGCTGTAACTCGAGAAAAGTCTTTGATGAAGATCTGATAGTAGTTGACAAATTCCAAAAAGCATTGGATATGTATTACCATTTTTGGCATCTTCCAATGTATAATAGTTTGAACTTTCTTAAGATCCATCAAAGTCCATCATTTGAAATGATGTATCTTAAGAAGTTGACTTGAGTAGTATAGAATAGATACTTTTCTATCTTGGCATAAAGTCCTGCATGTCTTAATTTTTGTAACACACAACAAACATGAAGTTCATGTTCTTTTGGA